TAGTATCTTTATCTGTCAGCAATTCCACAAGAAGAAAATGAGGTCATTTGGATGTTGCTGTTGGTAGCCCCCACAAACACCCCCATCTTGTGTCTGTCCACTTGTCTCTGCTCCTGTACACTACCATCTGAATCATGCAGCCCTTCATTTTCCTATGTTTTCACTAACTATCAGGGTCTATTCCTCCCTCCTATTCACTCATTAAGCAGTCAGCTTGTTCATCTCATCCATTTGTCCAGTATTTCACCTGTCCATACCACCAACCTACAACTGATTTGTCTGCACATGCATCTGCTACACACTGGTTTTGATCAAGATGTCTATTCTCCTTACAGCATAGAAGATGGTTGCAGAAGAAAGCAGAAAAGCAAGCAGAAAATGAGGAAGAGCATTAGCTGAAAAAAAGGAGACAGATACAAAAAGAAAGGCAATAATGGAAGAACAAAAGAGACTATAAATTTAAAACTCACCTCGAATGGCTTGGACACTGAAGACCAAATACAGATTCAGCAGAAGGATGAAAATCTCTTTCATGATCATACTGTCCTTTGTGCCCAAGTTTGATCCTAATTCAGAAGATAATGTTTTCATTGCCCGCTGGCTACTCTCTTGCTCTGCTTATTGTGGATCTTCTCGTTTTCATTTCACATAAAGAGAAGTAAAACTGAATTAGGGAACTTGTTTAGGCTTTGCGTTGGAGTGAGATTCAGAAGAAACTTCTACCAAGTATTTATTGTAGGACAAGATCCATGTCTTCTTATCGTGTGAGCTTGCAATACGAGCAAAGAACGAAGAAATAAAAGCACATTTCCAAGGAAGTGCAGGGATTCTTTCAGCTGAGTAGCAACAAGAAACAATCCTAATCTCTAAAGAGAACTCAGCCTTCAAATTAATTTGTGCTCTTCATGCTCAAAGCCTTCCTAATGAACCGCAGTGGTGTTCTGTTTTTTAACTTTCCTTAAAAATATGATCCCCAACGACATAGCTCCTGGGAGCTATACGGGTTGAATTTCCGTATTCATTCACTTTCAGATTTCTCTTCAACATGCTACTTCTCCAGCTGCTCCCCAAACAAGTTGCAAATTGTAGAAATAGTACCAAAGAAACTATTTCTCTTTTTTTTTGGTGATTGTTGAGATTGAGACTAGGTTGAGTGGTTCAACGACCATGGACCACATCGTTCAATACTGGAATTCAAGTCCTTTTGTCCATCCCTCATTGCTCTCTCAAAAGTATAATACTCTAGTATGTTACAGAGCTGAGACTCTTTCCTACTTTAGGGGAGCATGGAAAAAAAATTCTTTTAAATTCCTGTTGAGTTTCAGATTCCTGAATGCCACTTCCTGGCACCAGAGCCAGGTGCTGGCTGAGCCCTTGAATAATCATCACAGCTAAGGAATCCCTTAATGACTTACAAGCCCTTGTATGAGAGCAGACTCTGCCACTGTGCTTTCCCCAGAGAGGAGGCAGTTCCCTTACCTGGATCCAGAGCTGTCTGGGAGGCAGATGATTCAACCTGACAGGTGACTCTCCCTGTCCATCCTCCCCCCACAGCATCAGAATCCTCTGATGCAGAAACCAGCAAAACCACACTTCCCTAGAACTGGAGACAGAAGGCGTAAACCAACCATAGGATTTTCTTGGCAAGTCAGTCTTCAAAATAACTGCGATATCTTCTATGCACCTCAAATGCCACTTTCAAAGAAGCAGACCACGCCCTTTCAAGGGAAGTTTGTGTAATTGCCTGTAAAATAGGAAGTCTGCACTTCCTATTTTAGCCCCCAAAGCACTTACTTAGATGGGAGTGTTTAACTGGGAAGGGAGGGGAAGGAAGTTTGTCATTGCCAATCTGCATGTTAACAATTACCAGATCATGGGACTAATGTATTTTCAGAAAAAAGAGGATTGACTGCAGCAGAAGTGAGAAAGACTAAAAAAGAATTCTCTGGTTTTTACTCCAGTGCTGTTTCTTGCTTTACTCTAGGCTAGACAATCTTCAAGGCAGGGATCATTCTGTACTTTATGTTTATTTGTACATATATATTGGGGGGGAGAGAGAGAGAACTACCTTTATCTCTGTAACCCTTTAATTTGAGTAATATTTTAAAAAGTAAGTTTTACAACTTTTCAACAACAATTAATAATAAATTATAAGTATTACAGTACATAGAAGAAACAAACAAAAACTGGTGAGAAGAGTTGATCTGAAGTTATCCTACATCCAAGGCAGCCACACTGTTTTAAATCCAGCTTTAAAACTTAGCCCAGTAGCCTTCAATAATAAGATCTATAGGGAAGGTAGGTAGCCATAAGGGAAAGACACACTCAGATTTGCGCTCTCAGGGGTAAACTACAGGGGGACTAAGATAAGTCCCCAGATACAGAATATAACTGCCAGAGTCTGTCTGTCCTGCACTGCTATTATACCTTCTCTAAATCCCTGTAGTACTGACCAAAATCATAGTTAGCACAGTTAGACTCTCACAAGAACTACATCAATATACAAGAAAAAAAATGTATACTGTGAATAAGGGAAACATGTGCAGAGCAAGAAGGAGAATATGAGAGTATCTGAGGAAATTGTGTGTCATTGGGACAGGAGGTGCATATAAAACCTGCAGACAAGGGGGGAATATGCGACTTTGCTGGATGGGCAGAATTTACTTTGCATTACAGTATAAAGGCAGAAAAAAATTCTCCTGCTCTGATTTTCAGATGCCAGTAAGTTTATGTATGTTCTTCCCCCACCCTTAGAAAAGAGGTTTGGTGTTTCCCAGCAGACATTTTCCCTCTCTTTCCTTCCTCACTCAAACAGCTCTTCCATCGTCAAACAGACTTGCTGAGTTGCTGGTTACATCACATTATCTAGCTGTCAGTGAGAATCTTCAGATGTTATTTGCTCTGTTGAACTCCAGAAACAAGTAACAGGTAATCCTGCACACCAGAAGCTTTGCAGGCCATGCATGCCAATTAGGTTTCAAACTTACAATGCATTGTCTCATGTATCATAAAGTGTAAGATTACTAACATTATCATTGTATATTGCTTCATCTCCTTCCTAAACCGCATTGCTACAATGCCTTTGAAGTGAGAAGTTACATTTTGTAACATTTTAGTAAAATAATGTCAACTAAAACCTTCCATCTTTGGGAAAAAAGAAGGCATAATCTGTGTCTCTTCTGAATGTTATCTACCTCTGAAATTTAATATGCATGGATTCTTCAGGTGGAACCTTTGTACCTGGAAAGCAGATATGGCCTGTAGCACATCTTACAACTCTTTGGAGAGTGCATTTTCTTATACAAGTCTGTACAGGATTGGTATACTGCTAGAACTATGCACCTAATAAAGTGTCAAGTAAGAAATTATTTATGGATCCCAATATAGCAAATTATATGCTTATCTTTAAATATAAACTCTTTCCTTTATTTCCAATACACTTATATGCATAAATGCAGGGCTACGGATAATAGAATATTAAAGCTTATGTATACAAATAAGTGTATGTATATACATCAGGAAGAAAAAAAAAACAAGTTTAAAGGATAAGTCACATTAAATACTTCTGTTGTTGTTGAAGATCTTGTTACCTGATAGCATTACAGGTAACATGTAAGAAAAAGCAAAAACATTCTTTTGCCAGTTTTGGGAGGGGCAGGTTAGTTATTCATGCATCCTTAGTTAGCTGTTTCTTAGTACCTGCAGAAACTTGTTAATCTTCCCTTTTGTCTGTACAAATTTTAGCAGCAGGTCAAGGACAAAGATTTTTTAAAATGAGGAATTGTAGCTTAATGACACAGAAACTAACAGTCAAATCCAAAGCATGGTGTTTGAAAACTCTTTTAACTTCTTATTTTTTACTGATTATATTTATACTTGGTGGTATCTTTTTAACACCATGACTGAATGGTGTTTTTAAAATACAGAATTTTAGGTATCAAACAATTTATGTAAAACGCACTAACTTGTAATTCTTACAAGCAGCAGTAAATTTGTTCAAGAAGAAAATATTTTAATTGCATGACCATTAAAGAAATTATTGCAAGATATATTTTTTTCAATAATGCACTCCTCCTTAAAGAAAGCTGATTAAGTAACATTCAAATTCTTCTTCAAAATTATCTCACTTTCAAGCAAAAAAAAAAAGGACCAGAATTATTTCATCCCCCCCAAAAAAACTTTTTTAACAGAAACTGATAAAATAAACTCATATGTAACTTTATTTGTTGAAGAATCTGATACAGTAATTTCTTGTTAGTTCTGCTTTGCAATGAGGTGTCAGAAAGCAGAAGATAGACAGAGAAGAAATTGCTGTTTGAGTAGGCATCACACAAATTTTCCCAGAATGCGGAAATAAGTAATCTGTACAATTATAAAGAGGTCTATGAGGAACACCACAGGTGTACTAAGTTTGATTCACGGAATTCAAAATATTGGTCAATGGAAAGAAGAAAGCAAAGGTGGGCTGCAATTTCTTCACTGAAATTCGAAAAAGTTTTCTTGATGCTTCCAGAACAAACTCTGAATGCCCAGTCAAGACTCTTATGTGGCAGAAATAATTACGCATTCATAAGCACTGGCACACAAACCTTCATATCAGCAAGTGAAGAGAAAATTATGGCAGTCTAGGAAAAAAGCATATGAAGACATTCTGGACAAATAATTAGCTCTGGGAGCAAGAATAGAGATTAGACCAGGAGGTCTTGAGGCTCAGGACACTAAACCTCTATTGCAGGCTAACACTAACTTGCTTTGTGAATATGGCCAGTGATTTTATTTCCCTATTCCTCACTTTCTCTGGTCTCTATGTAGATGTCTCTATTACAGAGGAGTGCTAAAAAGCTGAAGAAGCTAACTAAGTACAGATTTTGCATTGAAAGATAATATATTACTAAAAATTACTCTTTTCAAGCTCATTTCAAAAGATTGTTAAATGGAACTGCAGAGAGGGATTACAGAAGGACTATATAGCTACCTACTGGAACATGTCTATATAGCACTTATGTTGCTCTGACTGTTTGAGTAGCACCTATTCCTGGACTAGTGTTATAGACACCCAAGTCATCTTTGTGAGTGATGTGCAACTTCCAAGGGAAGAAATACTTCTCAGAGGGCCTCCTCCTGCTCTGAGACACCATGAGTTCAACATCCTGATCGGAGAGCAACCGGATCAGATCACCATCAACGTCCCGGTAATTCAAAACAATGTCATGTTGGTCAAACTCCCGCCTGGTAGAAAAGAAATGGATTGATCCCCAGAAATCAAGGAATGCCTGGAAGGTGCTGCATGATGAACAATATACTGGCAATCTAATTCATTCTACTAAAAGCCACACAAAGCCTTGGGTGTCTTAACATTCTTGATACAGCTAGTACTAGAAATCATACAGCCACATTCATGCTGTGTTGTGTTTAAGCTAAGAAATCTGTCAGAACCAAGAACCATTTTCAGTAACACCACATGCATGGCACAATTAATCTGTGAGTTTGATAAAATTCCCATACATAAGAGTTGACTATAGTTACTACCCACTTTTGCCTACTTATGGTTGCTTTTTCTGAGGGGAGGGCAGGTTAAGGAATTACTAATATTTGATGTTTTAATGTGTTGATGTTCAACACTAGATTAATCTAGTTTAACACTAGTTTAACAGGTGTTAGAAGGCAGTGTCCTGCATCCTGAAGAAATATATTAGACAAAAGATCCTTGCATGGGGGTATGGCTCTGATCTTAGAACAAGAAATGGAAACTTATACCCAGCATAATTGAGTTAGAAGTGTGTGGCATTCCATATTTATTAACAATCCCAAGGCAGACTAGTGTCTGCACTGATGGCCCTGGGCCAAGTCTAAGTACAACTTCTTCAGGACACTTGAAAAGTATTTCACACCCAAAACATGATGATGACCAAGTAGAATGTGAAAAATCTAGGACTGGAAGGAACTTGACAAATGTTTAAATTATATTAAACATACAACTAACTGCTTGTATTGTACCTTATCAATTCCATGAGATCTTTGAATGATGGAATGCTGCTCAGATCCTCTTCCACTGAGATATCCCTGTAACAAGAACAAATCTAATCATTACATATCACGAAAAGAGAATTGTCGGCATTTCTTCAGCAGTAAACTGGAAGACTATTTTCTTACTACCTTATAGTGCTCACAGTCTCATCATGGTAATAACAGCGAACTTTATTAACTGTGTCTTCCTGCTGTGGTAAATCTTTTATGATCTTCACAAAAGCACATGGGAAAATCCCAGTGGCATCTTCAGCTGTTCCCTGGAATGATAGGAAGTGTTAGAATGAAGAAAACCATGCCATTTTGGCCGCATGCAGTAAGTTCTGGAATTCAATTAATTTCCATGGAAACATCAGTAAGAATTTTTCTACTATAATCAAGAAAAGAAAGGCTATGGAATTGACCTGATGGCAGTCCTACAAAAAGATTATACAATTGCATAGTCAACACGGGGGAGTGAAACAGTGTGTAAAAAATGAAAGTCAGATGGATACCAAGGAAGGCTGTGGTGTTTGAGCAAGCAGAGATATCATATCAGCAAACACACAGTATGTTCTCCTCATCCTTTTTCAGAACACTGCTGCATTGCCCAACTTCTCTCTAATCAGGCTGACGTGTGTTGTGGTATGAAGCATGAAGTATATAACAACTCACCCTGAGGCAAGAAAACAATTAATCGCTGAAATGGAGTTTCCATCCTCTTTCTGTGGCCTTTTTGTGTTCTAATCACTTCCAAAGAATTTAAAAACATTCCAGCAGAAGCAAATGCAAATGAAAACTGAAGTCTAGAGGGCAGAAAATTTGTAAGCTAAAAGCCATCAAGGAAGGAAACGATTTCAAATTTGGAGTCAAGTATTTATTCTTGACAGTAAGACCTGATTATTGTACAGTTTCTTCTTGAAAGGAGGAGACAGGTCCCAAGGACTAGGAGAGCCCTTTCTATTCATATATTTCAAGGTATGCTAATAATTCAGTACTGCTATTGCAGTCTTACCTCCAACCAGTCTTTGTTTACTCTGCTGAGTAGATAGATCAAGTCTCCCTTTTTGAAGCTGAGTTCCAGTTTATTGGTTCCAGAAAAATCGAACAGTGCCTATGGAAAGTAATAACACTGAAATTATTAATTCACACAATTACAAAAGTGAATCTTTCTTTCTTTTCTGTTCTTGGGGTGAGAGCATAAAGCAGCACAATAGTATGCACTTTGTCATGACAGATGTATTTCTGGGGTAAGGTCATATATATATGACCGTAGTCTGCAGTTCTCACAATTTGTTCTCCTACTCAGCACACACAAAAATGCTTTGAAGAAGTAGTGAAAGCACTAGGATAAACACGGCTCTGAGAGGGCTACATGCTAGGTTTCTTAAAGTGGCAGGACACTGAGCACCAGAGAAATAAATATAAAGAAGTTGAAAACACTTAAGAGCAAGTAAGTCAACAGCGCTGAAGACAACTGACAACTTGAAAACTTGAAATGCTGAGAACTGAAATAATATTTTTTTTTTTTTCAGTTTTTCAGTTTTACAGCTTTCAGATTTGCTGCAAAGTATCACAGAGAGCCTTAAAAAATTGCAGAAGAGTTGTGTCCAATTTAAGGGTAACTAACTGTTGTTTTTACATCTAGTTTTCAGGCCTGTATGCTGAACTGAGAGATTTGGGGAAGTCTGGGAAATTGACATGTAGTTAAAATGGAACTGAGATGCCCCCTTCAGGGGAATAAAAAAAAAAAAAGGAGGTAAGCACATGCTACCACCCTAACAAGCTGTTCTTGAATAATTAAAGTGTCCGAGTTATCAAAAATTGACCTGGTTTCAGCTGGGATGGAGTTGATTTTCTTCCTATTAACTGGTATAGTGCTGTGTTTTGGATGTAGTATGAGAATAATGTTGATAACACACTGATGTTTTAGTTGTTGCTAAGTAATGTTTACACTAGTCAAGGACTTTTTATCTTCCCATACCCTGCCGGGTGCATGGAGGGCTGGGAGGGAGCGTGGCCAGAACAGCTGGCCCAGCTGGCTAGTGGGGTATTCCACACCCTATGACGTCACGCTCAGCATATAAGGCTGGGGGAAGAAGAAGAAAGGGGGGGGCGTTCGGAGTGATGGCGTTTGTCTTCCCAAGAAACCGTTACGTGTGATGGAGCCCTGCTTTCCTGGAGATGGCTGAACACCTGCCTGCCGATGGGAAGTAGTGAATGAACTCCTTGGTTTTGCTTTGCTTGCGTGTGTGGCTTTTTTTACCTATTAAACTGTTTTTATCTCAACCCACGAGTTTTCTCACTTTCACCCTTCTGATTCTCTCTCTCCCCATCCCGCTGGAGGGGGGAGTGAGCGAGTGGCTGCATGGTATTTGGCTCCCTGCCAGGTTAAACCACGGCAAAAATGCACATCTCCCCCATTTTCCTTAGAGAACATGGTAGCCATTTAAATGCTCTTAGAGAAGTAAAAATAAAAAGTTGTTCTTCATTCTGTGTTGAGATGGTTCTTTTGGTTTTGTAATGCCAAGAGTTCTCCTAATAAAAAAAAAGACAATGGCTACTGTTGTGCTGGTAGTTCATATGCCTACTTAATAGCTCTTTCAAAAGCCTTTTTTCATCTATTGAAAAGTTTTGGTAGGTATATTAAATACTAATAAATTAATAGCTAAAACCCAAGAGATATGACTGATCCAAGCCCTGCCATACTCAGTGTCAAAAACAAAACCAAAAAACCCCAAAGCACTTGCATGGTTTTTTTTCTAATCTAACATGGCAAAGTCACATGTTCCAGAAAGCAAGACCATGCTCAGACAAGTACTGGTTACAAAGCAGTTCCATGTACTTAATACTGAGTCAATATACACCAAACAACAAGGGTATAGCCACTTTTCAGTAGAACACTTACGTTACAGGAAATACTAAGATGCCTCACCTGCAAAGCTTTTAAACATATGCTGAAGTCAATGAGACTGAAGCTTGTGCTTGTTTTAAATTTAATTTATGGGTATCACTATGCAAATATGGACCATTTGGCAGTAAGCTGTACATGTCTCTCAGTTTTGAACGTCCTGTCGTTCTGACTTCACAATGGACCTTCTTATTACTCAAGTAAGGAGGAACAGAACACTTCTTTCCATCCTTTGTTTCATTCCCTGTTGTTAAAATAATTGCTTTCCTGTGTCGATTTCACTTTCCCTTCTTTCCCCAAGCTCTAATTGGAAAAGGCAAATTGATCGATGAGATACCAAAGTAAAAGAGGGTTTAATCTCCTATCCCATGACAGATTGTGCAGAGTACTCACCTCAGCCCGTGGAGTTGCCATGCGGTCAAAAATAGGCACTTGAGGTGAAATGCTTTTACTGCAAAGAAAGGAGACAACAGGGAGGTATATATGTCTTTCTGGTCATCAAAAATACTACACGATCAGTAGTACAATGTCTGCATTTTCATTATTTAAGAGGCAGGCAAGCCATAGATCACTGGAGAAACTGTATGAGAATCTGTGTGCAGCACTGAAGTAAATAAATATGGATGCAACAACATTGCCCTAGTTCTCTCAGTTTCAGCGCAGAGCAGCAGCAAACTGATGATGTCTGCTGCTGAGAACAGATGGAATTTTCAATACAGTCAGTATCCTGGACCTCTCTTCCACAGCACTGCTCAGCCCCACTATTCTGCCTTCTGGGCATCCCTGTTTCTAGCATTTATGGCATTCAGTTCAAACTCTGCCATCGCACACACATCCAGGAATGCATACACACATGCAGTTTTTGCACTGTTTGAGGTAAGCAAAAAGGAAGTGGGACCATCTTTGCTATGTTGAAAGGAGAATTAATTTGTCTGAAGGGTAATGAAATATGACGTCTACTTAGCAGTTCTCCAAAGGGGTGTCAATGCCGCTATGTAGGACAGGCCCCTGTTTAGACAAAGGACAGGAACAAATCAAGTATTTAGTTTCATTTAGTGTCTGAACCAGATCTCACTGAATTCAGTGCCAAAACTCACAATGACTTCAGTGGTGCAAGCCTACGTCCTTAAGCTTGACCTGTGTATTCTGCACATTATAACAGATATTACCATTAAAGAATTATCAACAGATAGAGCTGAGCAGCGTTTTTTTAAAAGCAAGCTATACTCTTATTTTGGAATTTTCCTTTAATGCAAGAACCACATCCACTTTAAAAATTTGAGATTATTGAAAACAAGAAATAGCCTGTGTTCACTCTACCACAAAGATTCTCATATTAGGACTTCACGGATTCACTTGGGAAACACAGTGGTGATCCTCATCCCTCTCTCCCCCCCAAACTGAACAGCATTTCTTACATCAATCAATGCTGAAAAAACATGTCAATCACTTACACTCGGCGTGTCCGTGGGCGAAGCCGTCTCAGTCTGTGAGGTACCTGTTCACTATCAAAGGTTGAATGGTAGAAGAACAGCCGTACCTCTTCATCCATCAACACCCAAACAGGTAGGCAGAGTAGGTTCTGTGCCAAGAGCAAGTAAGCAGCAGAGGGTAACAGTGGGAGAGACCAATTCTCTATTTATTTATATGTAACAAATATGCCTCTCTGACCTACAGGATCATGAAGGATATTCATTACTGCCAGAAATATCCCTCCTCTCCCTTCTCACTCAGCAGGACATGGCTCAACAGTTGACAGTTTCTCCTGTTTACTCCTGGAGTTGGCCAATGTATTGCTTCACTCTTTTTGTGCCTGATTTACTGCAGAAGGAGTAAATTGTTCTTTGTGTTTCCCTTCAGAACACGAATGACTGTGGAAAGAAGGCAATCTTAAGTACTGGAAGTCTTGGCCAGTGCTTCAGACTTTTACTGATTTAAAGTCAGGTCTTCAGTTAACCTGCACACAAAGAATTTCTCTCCTCGATCTTACTGGCTGTGTCTTCACTGTAGAGCAGGTACACCCAGAACCCACCCCTCTCTCCTAGTCCCTCAGGTACACATACCAACTCCATATTCACACAACAGCTGGAGATTCACCATTTCCTCACACATCTTGGGGTTTTTTTTGTAAGGATATCTATCTATATATGAAGGCAGGGAGTAAGCCTTTGTGAACTGCGTACTCCAGCAGATCCTACAGTCTGAACAATCTGGGGAATAGGACTGCAGGTTGTCCCACAGTGCGGACACTGTGTCTTCAGGAAAAACAATACAGAGAGAAGGAGATACCTAGGACTACAACAGTACTGTCTCCCTTAGCTGATTTCAAGGGCTATCTGCAGTGCTCAGTGCAATCTCTGCCTTAAAATTAAGATTTACCTTCATGTAGACATTTAGGATAGGAATCCTGTTCTCAGCAATTTCCTTTTTGGCCCCAACATAAACTTTTCCTGGAAAATATAAAACCTGTGACAGTTATTGAAGAAAAAAACATGGAGGCGGTTAGAGAAATGAAGCAGTCAGGAGAAAGTAGGATCTCCAAGAAAATACATATTTTCTAAAGGATTTTAGGTTTCTAAATGTATTTTACCACAAGTGGAGGGACTGCCAATGGAACTTGACTTCTCCAGCATCCACAGCTGGGAACTAGTTCCTTGTCACAATTACTTCCCTACAATGCACTCCTCTTCAGGACAGCCTGGGGCTGAGAAAGCTGCTAATCATGCACAGATTTGGTACCGACAGCTTACCTGGCAATACGGGGAGTGTGCAGGTAAAAGGGCTGTTTTTGCTTTCTGCCCCATATCTCTCCTCTAGCTTGGTGTGCAGGGCATAGAACTGACGATAGCGTCGGAAAATCAGGTATCTGCCACCACCTTTAACCTTTACTTCAATGACAAACATCTGAAACAGAGAAAGGGGATTCACGCTGATGTTCATACTTATAAATACTTACCAAATGAAAGTGAGGCATACAATAGGAACATAAGATCAGTGCTCTGGTAGCGGGAATATTGTCTTAGGGGCAGAGTGGAAAGCAAGCCTTCAGTAAAGCATCTGCAGACTCAAGTACTAGAAAATAACAAGTTAGCACCAGTGTGGTATACGTGTGAGTCCAGCTTTCCCATGGATCATGTCCCTGTGGCTGCTTTCTATTACATAATCTTAAAAGGAAACCTGAAATGACTAGATGCTGCTTTATGCTTACATACCTTCCCTCAGTGACAAACAAAACATATTAGGGAGGTAAATACAAATGTTTTACAGTAGGATGATTTGGACATCAAAATCTATAGACAGACATCTAAATGAATTGATTTTCAGGGCTGAAGGCATTCATACTTCTTTTTGACTTTAAAGTACACAATTTCAGAAATTATGGTCTGACCAAAGGTAAGGCCAGAAAAAAAACTTAGTCACCTTCTAATGCCCTCCTCCAACCACTATCTTATTTCTTATCTTTCGCCAAAATCGCTTTGCTCTAAAGGAGCCCGTGATTTCCATGCACTGACCTCTGAGTTGCATTGTAGTCAGATCCTTCAGAAAACATAAAGACAGAGCAACCAAAGGTCACTATATTCCAGAGTAAAACCTGCATACTGCAGTGGGAAGGTTTTTGAGCAATGTCTCCAGCAAAAGCAGCATACCCTACAAAAGTCAGACTGAGCTGGTCTTATCCAAAACCCCTCTTCAGCAAATCTCATAGTGCTTTTCCCTACTATTCCCTTCCTGTGTGCTCTTTCATGACTTATTAATATGCTACCTTCTGTGGAGATGGATGCATCCTAATTTGCCAGTACCATGGAATAATGAAGACAAGACCCTGCCCTTCTACCCTCTTTGAATTCCTTTCCCACTATCTTCACCAAATGTACAGCACTCTAATAGGAAATAAATCAGAAATTAGGTAAGAATTTAGAAAACAAGCAATGTTAGAGGATACCTCTGTCACATTTCACCCAGGCAATAAATTTTTAAACTAAATCTGTGATAGACTAACCTCCATTCCAGAAAAAAAGAAGCACAGAACTATTCATGCCAAAAAACAACTACACCAGATTAACTGCATTTTGCTTCCCACAACCAAACCAGTCACAGATGAGGGCATATAGAGACAGGATAAATCTCCCTTCTTACATAATAATTACTAAAGCCTTTCTTCTCTTCAATATCTGCAATGTTAGCTGAAACAGGTACATCATCTGGAAGCTGGTCAAAATCACTGTGAAGCAAGAACAAAAGATTTAGGTTACTCATACTGGCATTAGCCTTCGGAGGTCTCTATGCCTACAGAACAAAGACAGTTAGGCAACATCAAATTAGCTAGTGTCAAAACCAAGAAGTTAGAAACTCATGGTATCATTCTCTTCCTCTGGAGGTCTGATCTTGAGATGTCAAGTTTCTATAAGTTCAGCACATGTCAGTGACCATTGTGAAAATTTATCAAGCCTGAAAAACATCCCTATCATTCCCAGGCATGCTAGAGTAGCAGGACTACAAAAGAAACACTTGAGCTGGTAAGTTTTTCCTGAGAAATGTGATCAACTGTGGATGCATTCTTAATCCTTCCTACAGCATCTAGTAGACTTACAATAATAACACTGCAGCAGTATCTCTTATCCTAAGGAGATCATTATATACCATGATTTATGCTGTTATTATTACTGCATTACTGTAGGGAATAGGTAAAAGTTCTGAGAAAAGAGCTTGGTGATGTAGAAACTAATTCCTAAAAACCTATGTGTAAGATGCACACAATGTACCTTATACATATAAGATAAGAAACAAGAGAAGGATAAGCACAAACAGAAAAAAAGCAAAGAAACAAAGACATAGTATTGTTCTATATCATAACTAGTGGTGCCTGCACCAGCTATCAAAATGTTGTCAAGTTTTCTTGTAAACATCACAGTAAAGCAGACTCTTAAAGAAGCTTTGAAAAAAGAACAAGTAGCCTAGCAAATATTTACAGGGAGACCTCCCAGTCACAGCAGATAACCTCAAGCAAGCACAAAGATACTTGTTTGAAAATGACGAATATGCGTGAAGGAATACATGATAGTGGGCAAGGTTAGAATAAGCTTTGCAGATCCTAGAAAGTACTGGATTTGAAGCAAAAGAGAAGGAAGGATCCGTGCAGGAACACCTGAAGAGCAGCCATATGACCACACCCTCATGTTTCTTGTCTATATTGTCCATACAATAAAACAGCATGGATTAGCAGGTGCTTTTTCCTCTGGGACCTTCTCCTTGGTACAGCATCTTTGACAAACAGAAGATAAATTCACCTTTGCTTCAATCTTACAACTCAATGTTGTTAGAGTGGTATTTATATTAACGCTTAAGTAAGAAGGATCAAGAATCAGGAGAAAAGGATGACAAATGAGGTAGAGAGAAAGAGAAACTTTAAAAAGGATCATCTAAGAAACACCAAGCTGATGTAATGTTAAATATTCTGATAATATTAAAACCATGGCAGTTGGCTCAGTTTATTCTGCTAGAACATCCCAAGCAGAGGCTTCCACAATGCATAGCCCATCTGGAAGGCTGAAGTAATGATGCAAAGTCTTGCAATAGCTTGCTGTACGAGGAGAATGACATGAATCAGCACCACCCACAACACCGTAAATACTACGACTTACTATGAAGAGGGATGTGGTAATGGAGATCAAGAGAGACAATTAGACATATCACAAAAACTCATATCACAAACCCCAGTAAAAGGGAAACTGTTTGCAGCTATAAAAAGGACAATGACTCACTATGTCCTAGGTGGTGACTATTCTCCAGGAAAAGAAGAAAGAAAGTCCACTCCAACTTAAGAAATGGTCTGCTCCACATTAAGCAGCCTAATAGTTTGGAAGCTATGATAACAAGAAACCTTTTACAATCACAAAAGAAGCATGCATCCAAATTAAATGAACAGATTGTAACAGTTACATGGAGGCTTGTGGGGAGGCGGGCAGAGGGAGAGACACATTACCTCTTTTCTCGCAGCTGGCGGGGAAGAGACATGGTTTTCAGCTTCTTAAATCCAGACGGCTAAGCTCTATTCCTCCACTTCTTGGGCAGTTCCTGGCTGAATAGGATGAACACAGTCAAAGGAATTCTCCCTGCATGAATCAAGACTCCTTTGCAAGGCCTCAGAGATCTTTTTTTTAATGTTTCAGTGTCAGACGATTTCTTCTGTACCTCCCCACCCCCATGAGATTGAGGAAGTACTAGAGAAAAAACAGTCATAAAGAAAGACTGTTTTGTGATGTCTGTCATGTATCGAAACTGCCACCGTTGAGAAACCAAAAGCCCAACAAAAAGCAGAAACTATGAGCCACATATTCCATTGTCCACCTCTTCACCAAAATATCTGCCTCTGTAGAAAGCCACTATGAGTGGCTCTGTGATTCCCAAGAATCCTCCTTTCCATGGACCAAGAGCCAGGAGGTGGAGCTAAAGAATAAATTTTCAAGTGGGAGCAGAAAGTACGGTCACGAAATTCAACCTTGTCAAACATATGCGTACCAGAGTATCAGGTACAGGAGATTAGGAAATGAGCTTTGAAGGATGGATCAATACAAGTAAGACATGAGCCCTTGAAAGAGCAGAGATCTTTTCAGCTTCATGTGCTCAAAACAATCCACATTTGCCACCTACAAAGACAGGGTAATGGCTCATCCAAAGAGAATCCTGACTGTCCTGCCTTGTACACAAAGGGTAGTGATATAGCATTTGTATAACATCAGTTGACAATCTTTCAAGAAGAAAATAAAAGGAAGAAAGTGACAAGGAAACCATCATTTCCTAACACTGCGGATAAGTTGCAGCATAGCTTATCTGCCTTAGTCAAAAGCTGTCATCTGTAGTATCTTTGCCTCCTCATTTCAGTCTTTGACTCTTTTCCATTTTCATGTTCAATACATATTTGGTTCCTTCTCCTCCTTCTGCTGTCAAGCACAAAAATTCTCATCTGAATGGAGGAAAAGTCTATTTACAACTGTAATCATCAGCCTTGAGAGTAAACTGCATTTCACTGCCTTTTAATGAAGTAAATTCTTCACCCATCTCTTTCCTGTGGATAACTGAAGGCACCATTATAGAATTTGAGAGGGGATATAGTGTCTCTTGATCAGAAGGGACCAGGAGAAGCTGCAAAATTCTGAACTGTATTTTCTGGGTAATCTGCTGCTCTGTGCTGCCCACACAGACTTAGCAGAGAAGTTTTAAGTGGTGATGTTGGATACAAGTATTTCCCTAAACCTTCACACTCTGCTGTGTATTCCATTTTCTTAATTAGGCTTGCTAAATGTGCAGTCCTCATGCAACCTGAAGTCAGGCTCATTATTCTCTTCCCTTTGCCTTCAGTAAGAGAGACAATAATCAAGTTTTCTAACTGCAATCCTCTTGCTTTCTCCTGACATTCAAAAGGAAATAGGAACAGATCACCTTGACCAGAACTCTTAATCACAAGATCAATATATATGAACTCATGAAAATTCAGAGGGGCCCTCCTGCCACATGCCAAAAGATTGTGGAAAGCACAAGAACTGCATAAACTTTAACAGAATTGAAAGAGAAAGTCTGGAGGAGTGCTTTTAAAGTAACTGTTTATATTTGATGCATATCATAGTTTTGACAGGAAAATCATAAAAAGGATATTCTAATCTTTTCAAATCTCTTGGAAGATAATCTAGATACAATGTAGGTACATCTTGTAAGAGACAGAGGATATGACACAATGCAAAAATACTTGCTCGTTGTTTACCTGGAGACACGGCTTTTCAAGACCAAGTCAACAGACAACCTCACAGGCAAATTGTCTATGCAACTGCTTTGCTGTAAGCTAAGTAAAACAAATTGAGAGCAGCTCCTCAATTCCACTACTCTCTGCTAGAGATTATAGCCACTAATAATACTAATCTGACAGAATAATGCTCAACCTACTAAGAAAGTTTCTGATTCTGCAATATTTTCTTGTTCTGAACTAAACCAAAACCAAGACCACCTTTTCTGACGAAAAGGCAGATTCCTACCTCAGAAGAGTGGATAGCTGATTGGTTAGAGGGCTCACCGAGGCTGTGAGAGACTAAGATTTGAAACACTGCTTTGCCATGTTCTTCTGTGCCACACCAGTGCCTCAACTACCAGGTATTTTCTCTCAATTTCTACTTTTGTGCTACTATTGTAGAAATAGCAATTTCTTCTATTTGGGCTGAGGAAATGGGCTGGGTCTAGTCAAACCCACATTCTCTCTCTGCTCAAATAATTACTTCATTATTGATGAATTAAATAAATGTCCATTACAAAATTGATACCATAATGATGTCAAGAGATACCATGTCAAGAGATACGTCTGCACTAGGAGAGTATCCAATTTCATCAGCTGACATGGTCAGCTCTCAGTTTTGAGAAAACCCACCCATACACCATGGGCGGCATGGTCATTATGGCACTATGCACTGACCTTTATCCCTGTGCAAGAGAAAGCAGGCATCCGGGTGCAAGAAATACTAACAAATTAATTAATTAAAGGAGACTACTAAGAAAATCCTCAGGTGACTAACTCAAGACCATATGCTGACACCATTACGTACCTTTTCGCAGTTCAGCATCTACTGTATTATTTTGGCCGTATATGCCTGTGAGCTATGAAATTGTGGCCTTCTGTCTAATGCACATGTTGTTAGAAAATACTTGTACAAGGATACCTAGCACCTTGGAAATCTGAAAGTATCAGCTATAACCAAACAGCCAGAGCAAGCATGGAATTTTAATGGAAAATGGGAATGTAGTCCCAAATCACTAAAGATACATGAACCACTAATAAAAGGTAAATCAAAGGAACACAGCAAAAATACTCAGCTGAATCAATTCTGATGACAGCACTACGTACCATGTCTACTAGAGCAGCAGCTACTGGGCCATTTTGGCTGTGCATGTCTGTACACTCTAGAATAATGGCTTCTCTCTGAGGCACCTGATGTTAGAAAAGTGCTGCATAGCTATGTTTAATCACCAGCCATAGAATAAATTTGTTAAGTGACAGAATAAAGTGAACAAGAATAATATTCTTAAAAGATGTCTGGTCTCATCACAGATTAATCTGTAATGGAAATAATATTTTAACAATCACTGCAAGGAAGCTGAACATCAAATAAAAACACATAGAGCAGAGTTGGCTTGCAAGACATTTTCATTCAACCTATTGTTTTCAAAGGATATGTGGAATATTTGTTTCTGTAGCATGCACATCATCAGCAGTTGAGTGTCTTTTCTTCTGTGGTTACTTGAGGCTGAGCTGCACCTGATAACACTGATTTGGGAAAAGTTATTTGGGGCTATATTCCATTTTCCATTCATATTACATACTTGTTCAGATTTTGCTTTTATGGTTACCATCAGCTTTACAGAATGCTTTAATATACTTTTACAATATTTATTTTCAAATATAGTCATGTTTAAACTCCTTATCATTATCATGATAGCACATGAATAATGAATTACAGCTCTGCAAAATTTTTGGACAAAAGTTACATAAGATAAGCTACTCATGTCTGCCCTGTAATCTTCAGTGCTCTTTTGCAGGTAGCACTACAAAATCCTCAGAAGGCAGTTGGTCCAATGGTAAATAACAAGACTCTCTTTCTTTGATACATGCTTTCAGGACAGCTGAACACAAACCCATCCAGAAAAAAAAAAAAAAAGTTGTTGAACTTCTCAAAAAAACCCAAAGAGGAGATAAGTTGAGCTGATTGGGTTTGTATTCTTCATTATATAAAGGCTCAATCCATATTGGCTGAGTGCATGGATACTCTCCCTGTCACACATTGTGTTGGGAGGAAAAAAGGCACAGAAGTGTACATAAATAGAACTTTGGAAATGTGCTTTGATTTAAATCTGGACACAGTTTCCATGACTGCTTGTTTAGGGTAAAAAGTAACCAGTAGGCATTTGCAGAAAAGGACTGTGATCATGCCCTGCTGATATAAACACAACTAAACAATGCATTGTGAACTAAAGAAACTTAAAGGTCAACGTCTACCACTGTTCCTGACAGTGAATTTGATGGTGTCATTTCTAGAACAAATGACTACTCAACATGAATAGGCTTTACAGAACCAAATATTAAAGAAAGAGCAGCCTTTTTTTTTAATGACATTTTTCTTGGAACTTCAAACTAAATCCCATAACTGAATCTTGGCTTTTGCACCTCAATTGCTTGAACAAAACAAGGAGTAAGTATTGCAGGAAAAAATACCCAAAAAAAGTGAATTTTTTCTTTAGTCATTATCAGCTATTTTGGAAATACACATTCAACAATCACTCTGGGTTTTGTTAGTTCATGATGCCAGATCTTGCCAGCTTTTCTTATGCAGAGCAATATCACAAGCAGTATTATGATCTTTCTCTCTGTGGAAAACAATTCTTCCTTTACAGTAAACCTGCTTCCTTGAAAAATCTTTTAAAAAGATACAGGATTTCTCTCTGATATAGTAGGATCACTTAAGACTGGAAGAGTTAGAGGAAGTCTTACCAGAACAGTAGTAACTTCTTCCTGATGAGCAATGGAAACCTTGCAGAGCTCAGATGGATATTGATGCCCAAGATTAGACTAAGTGAGAAAAATGGAAGCTCAGAAACAGCATCAGAACATTTCTTCATCCAGATAGCACATCATTTCCAGAATAAAAGAGGCAAATAGGGAAGAAATAGGGCAAAGCTTGCCACTGCTACTGTGTATGACAGATGTATGATTGTGTATGACCCGTATGCTCCAGTCAACTACCAATGTCAAAATGTGGTAACTGGCCATTGCAGACAAAGAAGTAGGATAGCTCCATCCAGGAACTCCTGAGAGAGGTATGCCTACAACCATTCCTCCAGAAGCTTAAAACCTAGTTTTAAGAGCATAGCAGCAGTGATCCCTTGTGGCAGAAGAGTCTCTGTGTTTTAGTCTCCTAATCATCTTGAGAGTCAAGAATCTGTTGGAGTTATTGCTACTCAAGACAAAGAAAATCCTGCTTCATCTCTTTCACAAGTTCAAAAGACCTGTCAAAATTACTCAAAAAAAATTTTCACCGAACTTTCCCAAATCTCAAAATAGGGTTGGGATTTGCTAAAATTTGTGTGGTGCTGCATTCAAAACATCCTACACTGTTCCTAATAGTTTAAATTCCCCACCCATTTGATGAAATTCTGTGACC